ATAATTGGCGAAGGATGTTCATTACGGCCAGAACACGAGCAGCATTAGCTCGCCTGCTGCTTCACCAGCAGTCATAGTTACTTTGTAATAATTCGACGCTGTTCAAGCATTTGCATCCCCAGCTTTCTCCCTGCTGTCTCGGCGGGACCGAGCTGCTATGAACCTGTTATAGACGAGCCATGGACATGAGGAACACCAGGAAGATCTACGATGCCGTATTTTAATCAACAGCACATCTTCAGTTAATACAGTCAGGAGAAAGGAGGAAAAAAAAGAGGAAAATGAATTCTGCTTTGTCTTCCAACAAATATTCCAAAAACCCGTGCCCCAAGACATCATATGAAAATTTGCAGAAACAGTTACAAAGCAACTTCAACGTATGCAACTTTTAGCATCAAGCAGAGCCAAAGTACTGGTTCTGCCAGTCATGTCTTGAAGCTACTTTAAAACAGCAATGTTGGCTTTACCGCGTGGATTTTATTTCATTTAGCTCCAACACCCCTTTTCAGAGGTGGCTGAGCTTGGGTAGATGCAGGCAGCAGTGACGCCGTCAGGTGGCACAAGAGCTTAGGAGCTGGGGAACAGCCTACGGCTGAGCACCGCAGGGTGATGGATTTGGGACCAAGCCAGAGCCTCTCTCCTCAGGCATCACCTCGGGGGGCAAGGTGGGTGACCAGGTTAACCCCCTACCAAGCAGAGCTTCATTTCCACTTTTGAGGCCTCCTACTTGCCAAGCTTCGGGAGGGCTACAGAGAGACAAAAACATGGAGAAAGACACACTTCGTGGTCTTCAAGAGTAAGGCTGCCTTCAAGAATACCCTTTCCTTGTGCAGTGCAACTGTTTCACACTTATTCCAGTAAGCACCAACTCGGGAAGGGGCTCTCCTTGCTCATCCCCAGTATTCCACAGAGGCAGCAGAGACATCAAGGCTGCAGGCAAGTGGAAAACATAGGTAAGTTGATCCAGCAGCAAAATGAAACAAAATTGGAGAAGTTGAGATGCATCAGAGAGCTGAGCAGCTTGAAATGCGTCCATGGGACCTTCAAAGCAAACACCAGCCCCAGCAGCTGCCCTGATAACTGGCTTAAAAGAAGGCTGAGCGGGATTTTAAGGCACTTTGCAATAATTTTCCTCAGTTTACCACAGTGCAATGCTTCCCCTTGCAAATGAGACCCCAAACAGCTCTGCTTGTAGGATTTCTGACATGCCACAGATATACATTAAGAAATAGATCTGCTCCTGCTAGGCCCTCGCATTACCATGAGTACCTAACCGCATCTTTCTGTGGAAGTGACAGACTGAAATCAAATAGCTTTTAAAAGCATTTAGCTGAACCGAAATGCAGGCCATCTCTGTGGAGTTTAAAAGGAGTGCCTTATTCTGCTTTGGCTCTAATCCGTTCCTAATCAATTTAAGACAAATTTATCTTAAGCCAGATTACATCTGTTAAGAAGGATCCGTGTAACCTTTTGCTCCACAATTGCCATACTGATTTTACAAAAGCATCCACTGCTTTAAGTAGGTGGAACAGTTTCCAGGAACCAACTGGACTGAAAAACCAAGCCAATTCATACAGGCGTTCACTAGCCTTCCTACAAGGAACAGAAAGCTTTAAGACACCTCGACACACAGCAGGGACACAAGGATCAAGGATTACAAAACCAAACCTTGCTCACAGGCCACGCTCCTCGACATTGCCCTGCGAACAGGGGCATTAACAGGGGACCTGGGAGATGCCAGCAATGTTGGATGTGTTGAGTCACTGAGTGGGAGCTGCTTCAGGACTTGAGCACAGCACCAGCATGTAAAACAGCATCCAGAGATTAACTGCTGCCCCACTTTCTCATAATTAACCAAGATTAACAGATAGATAGGCCCAGAAACCACCAGTATTAGTAGCTCAGATTTCCAGTAAGACTGTAAATCAAGTGGCTGGAAGAGAACAAATTGCCTTTAACAGCACTGCTAAAGAACAAATTCTAATAATTTATGTGCTTCAGATCCATGTGTTACATACACTGCGCTACTGCTGTCCTCTTGGTATTTTAATTTGCAGTGAGAAATGAGCTCTGAAATGACACAGTGGTTAAAGCTGTTTTACACCAGAGTCCTGAGGATCCACCCAGTTCTGTACTGGGCTGACACTGGTTACTTAACACAAACTGAGGTCAAGGGTGAGCAAAGTGGGAAGACAGGGATGAGGGCAGGAGGGACAGACCACCACCCACTACAAATCTGTTAGAATATGGACTATGGGAGTGCCAAGGCAGAAGCAGGTGTGAACTTAAACTTTTGTCAAGATGGCAGAAGTAACCAGCACGGTTGTTCGTACTCACAGCAACAGATGTTCCTGAAGCATCCCTACAGCTCTAAAAGTGCAGGACCTGCACACTGGAAGGAGAAAAGAGGAAGGAGCATTCTTTGCTCTGGACACATGGTTGTTTGCATCCCCACCTCACCAGCATTCAGTACATATTCAACACCTCACACCTGTTATGCCAAAGAAATTTAAAACAAGTTTCAGCCACAAACAGGAAGTATTAATGGATCTAACTTCACTGACTCAGCGCAGTGATCAGCACACTGACTTCCATGATGGCAAATGTTACCTTTCCTCCCACCCAAATTTACATTCACATTTCAATTTTTTTTAATATAAAGCTAAACAGTCAGTGCCTGGAAATTAAGTAGGAATAAAACTACTTCTAGGAACAACTTTAAGCCAGCAGGGTTGGCATAGAATCAAATGTACTAAACACCCGGATTTGGGAGAAACAGGCATTAACTAACAAAGAACCCACCAGCTTGCAGCAGTTTTCCCCGACCAAGCCTGCAACCTCCTGGCTGCTCCCCCCTCTGCTCTACATGGCTTTGTATGTTAAGCTAAGGCTTTTGATGGCATGAATGGGGAAAAAAGGGGACAACCTGCTCTTTTCCCCAAAGACAGTATGAAATCACACACCTGTCTTCTACAATAACAGCACTGAAGGATTCCTTCCTCCTCCTCCCTCCTCAATTAAGTGCATTTTGAGACTCCTACTGAAGTGGAAGTATCCTTTACTGACAAAACTACATGGAGTCCCAATATCAACTATGACAACTGGAGTAGACAACAGTTTCATGTAATGGTATAAAGTTCTCCAAGACTCTGAATCATTTAAACGTATTAAGTATTTTGCAACCAAGATACCAACTGCAATTTAAATCTGTAGAACCCAGCTCAAACATGTCTGCATTCAACCATTTCCAGTGAAGGAGAGCTGCCAAGCCCCAATTTCTTCAAGAAGTTGGGGTCCATCATACCTGAAGAAGTTGAGCTCAAGGTTAGTGAGCTCATGACTCAAAACCCCCTTACACTTCAGGAAAATACAGTTTGAATTCAACAAGATTTACAACTAGGGAAGGGAAAGTAGTCTCAGATTTGACCCTCAGTAAGATTTAATATTTCATTTAGGAGAGAATGGAAGAAGATCCAAACCACATTCACTTGATGAAGTGCCTGTTCAATGCTTTTAGGGGAACTCCCTCCCCCCATCCAGCAGAATTACTGCTTAGCCTCCAAAGCAGAATTAGTTGCACTCCTTGAAAGGTGCTGAAGTCTAAGGTAATAGTGTCAACCTCCTATGAAGCTGAAAAACAACTGATCACTTCAACCTAAACAAGACTTAATAGGCTGCAAGGTGTTTCAGGCGGCATTTTGCATCTAGTAACCAAGTTCAAAAACTAAGTGCTGACGATCCATGAATGAAGAACAGCAACAAGACTTTACAAACATGATTAGTATTATCCAACTGCTTTGTTATAAATATATTATATACATTCAAACATCACATTAAAATATTATTCCATTACACCAAAGGAGATTAAGGCTTTATATTATTTACAGAAACAAGCAAGCACCTTAAAAAAAACCAAAAAAACCCAAAACACCAGTCATTGACATTTCCCTTCTAGCATTACAAGTTTGATACTTTGAGCTCTGGAATACAGCTATTTGCAAAGTGCCCACTGCTAGAACTATTTTAAACATTTATTGTCAGGGTAGGAAACACTTAATAGAAGACTCATCAGTGAGCACTCCACATGAACAAACGTGAGCATGTGTTGTACCAGGCGCCCTCCCTCTCCTCAGAGGCTTGTTAAGTTGAAGGCTTATGCAGAAACGTTTGCTCAATTCCATGTAGAGAGGAGAACAATTTTATTTCAAGGGAAACTGAAGACACTTGAGGATTCGTGGCCCACTGCTGGAGTGGGATTCTCGAAGTCTGTTCCACATTACATCAATTAGATTTAACATGATAGTGAAGACAGAGCTGTGAGTTTATAAATCACTAAGTGCACCGAACAGTGATGATTTCATAGGCTTCCATTACTCTGACACACTGTTTTCATGCAGTGCATTTGGACTCAAACATGAAGTGACAAACTGCTGTCACCATTCTCCCTATAGGTCTTAGGCAACAAGCTACATTTGAAGTGTTAAATAATGTTGATACAACACATGTTTTCTACGCCACCATGTACCAATGGAGTGTCTGTTCTGCCTTCTGGCTTGCCCGATAGCCTATGAGATACAGTGATGAAGTATTTTCTAAGCTGTATGCAGACATGGCTAAATGAAAAGGTGCTCAGTAAGAGTAATCATCTTCATTTCAAGTATTGTTTTAAGAATTAGTTCTTTTCATTACAGTCTGCATTAGCACTTTTTAGTTTGTGCTTCAGAGTCTGTTATTTCTTTGCAGGTCTTGAATTTGGCTGATGGCTTGATATAATTTTGTTTTTTAAAAAACAACATTGGCAACAAGTTAAGGATTGCAGAAAGCTGGCAACAGTTATTTAATTTTCTGAGCCCATTTCATGTCATCTGCTCTTGGCTTCTCCCCAGTAACTCCTTGGATAATGTTCTCCAAACACCTCCAGAATCTTATCTTCTCTAATGGATAGTTCAGCCAACCTAAGCGATTGCAAAGGAAAAAAGGGATTAGTTAGTAATAGCATCCAAAGTTCAATGTCTTGCAATGTTTATTTAATAACATTCTTTAAATAAATGTAAGGGGAGTTCAGAGGTGGAGTCTATGGCCACTGCAATGCTATCAGAAAAGAGACTATCAAGTTGAATGATTTATGTTAGAAGCAAGACATCTGTATTTGTAGCACCTTAGTTTTAGTACTGAAATATAAGCAACTCGATAATTTCAGCTATTTTTCCCCTGATTATTTTCCCTATTGCCAAAGCCAGCTCAGCTTTTCCCTGTGTTCCTTATTAGGTAGTACAGCAAGAAAGTAAATACACACAACACGGCTCTGAAATCTCAAATACATTATCAATGCCACAGTTTGGAGAAAAGAAAGGAAAAAAAAAATTAAGACTTTAATTTGGGACCTAAACACCATTAAGGGGAAAATGTGTAAGAAAACAAAACCAAAGGAGAGGCAGGAATGAAGAAGTTGTTACCACAATGGAAACAGTGAGCTAACAGCAGTGATTCACATTAAAGAGCTAAAGCGCAGGAGAGCATGAGCAGGATGAACATGGAAAAGCTGCCGCAGCACCAGCTCTGCCAGGTCCGAGTGCCATCCCTACAGCAGAGACACAGCCAGCAGAAGGGAAACAACTCTTCTTGCTGGTGATGTCTTAGACCGTGTGTACAGCTGTTACGGGACAGTGATACTGAAGTGAGAGAACATTCAGGATATTCACTGCTGAAAAATATTGTATTTCTAGAGAGCTACATCATTCTTAATCAGACACAACTGCAGCTTTAATGATCTGCTAAAACAAGCACTGTTTTCAGCTGCCTTCTGAGGCTGGACATGATCTTTCCCAGCTCACCTGCAATCCTGCAGCTCCATTCAACCCACTGTACACTGATGCCCTTTAGGAAGTCAGCCCATGCAATTCTCATTAACACAGCCATTACTCCTCAAGGAATGGATGGCTCCTTCCTGGTGTCTAAAAACAGCACTCAGTCCGAAAGTTTTAATGGGGATTTTAATACTGGGAATGCCAGAAAGCTCTGCTACCTGACACCTTCCCTGACAATGGTACCGTGGCAGACCTTCATACACAGGTCAGTTCTGAAACCAAGTATGCTCTTTGGACTTGACTGTCTACTCTTAAGTCACTAACAAATGCATCTCAATAACGAGTCCTATTTTACTCAGTACAGGTCCTTTAATATAGCACATTGATTGCATATTTCTGTTCTCCTCCTCACTTCTACCCTAGAAGAAAAAGAATTTGGGCTGCAGAAACACTTTGCTCCACTGGAAAAAACAAGTATACAATCTATCATGCTGGGTTATGTCAGACTAGTATGGTATGAACACTTACAGAAAGCATGGCGTGCATGGAAGTACATGCTACTTTTTTAATGAGAAAAATGCACCTAGCCCAAGACTGCTAATAATGGTCAGGCTTAAACTTGCAGTATGTAGTAGGGCTGAAAAAAAGCTCTGAAGCTGGAAAGATTTTTGCCATCATCTGTAAAGTCAGGCTTCTTAATTGTACCATGTTTCTACATGACATTCATGAGAACTAGATTTGTTTCTTGGCAGATATTCCAAAATTGATAGAAATTGAATGATAGAATGAAAAAACAGTGATTTATTTCCATCTGTCCGATTAACTTGATAACTTATTCAGGATTGTGCAACCCTGGTGACTGCAGAGTAGGCATAAAATTTAATATACATGCAAGAGGAACCACAACAGAATTTACTGCAAGCCTGTCCATACCTCTGCCCCAAATCAGAATGAATGAGTGCTGAAAATCCATAAGCCTTGCTTTAGAAATGACTGAGCATTCCAGGTAAGCTGCACTTGCAGATGATACGCTCTTTTGAAGGAACAGCAGCTTCATGACTTTAATGAACAAAATCCATTACTAGCATGAGATTACCAAGATATTGTGCAATCAGATCTCAGTCCCACTGACTACCTTGTCAGGCTGAAATCTACCATTTAGCCAATCACAAATCTTACCCCTATGGTTTCTATGATGCATGAGCACAGTTAGCTTCACCATGTAATTTTCTAGGTATTTAACAGGCTGTCACTAGTACATCTTGCCAGGTGAACTGCATAGACTACTAAAGAGAGCTGGCAGTATGAACCAGATGGCAGTACCAGTTGTAATGCAGAAGTACGTCTCATGTGGAGAAACGTGATGGATCCTGTGATGCTTCCGAGGCAGGATGATGTGCCAGTCCTGTAGAAAGATGACCCAGCGTGGAAGACCAAAGTACGTGTGAGACCACTTGTGAATCTGGTTCGTCATGGTTATGAAGATGATAAGGGCAAAGACATAACACTCCCAAGGACATGTTTCATATAATGCCTCTGTAAAACAAAGATGTATATCTTTAAATGCCATTTATGAAAAGGTAAATTTATACTAGGAAAATTATATCTTGCCCAGACAGTGCTGCACAAAGCCCTCAATGAAGCTACTTTGGTAGAAGTGTCACAAGGACCAGCGAGCCACAAGCAATCCCAGAATGGCAGAAGATGGGCTGGTAAGTGCCCAGAGTCTGTCAACTCACTGTGAGTAAACCGTGAGTTTACCATCTATAAAGTTAAATCAATCCTTTAATTCTTGCACTTCCAGTTTGCAAATAAAGTACCTCTACTTAGAGATGAAGCATTTTTATACACTTTGGAACAATGAGTTTCCCTATACAGTTTGATCCCTCTTACAAAAAGGATTTTTACTGTAACTTCTAATGCTTCCATGCAAGACCTTTCAGCCACAGATTCTTCTTTGAGCTAAATAATGCACCTGTCCCACCTTCTAGCTGCTCCACTTTCAAGGAAAAAAAAAGTTTCCCTCCCCACTCCCAGGAGCATCATGGCTCCAACAGCTATTACTTGTCATCCTGCATTCACTGATTGCTCCTAGCTTCTCACAGACAAACATGCATTTAAATACCAATAAAAATGCTAAATCCACCTAATTCAGAAGTAACAGCTTACCTGGGGAAAAAGAAACAAACTTGTATGCCATGTTTGCCAACGGGACTAAAGTCATGAAGCAGTTGTCTCCATTGGTCTCTATAAAATCATGTCTGGTGATTGCTGTGGGGTCAATATGATGTTCTCTAAAGGGTCTGATGAAAGCCTGAAAAAAAACCAAACAAGTTGATAAACATGACACTACAGTTCAATAACGATCTTGGAGAGAAAATGCAAAAAAAACCCCACCCAAAACATCACATGCATTCAAATCTGATGACTGAGTTTAAGAGCGTACCATAGTACAGAGTGTGTAAGCAGGATGCACACTTTTGTGATGACAACACTTATGATAATTTAATTTACATTTGCAAAGCAATTCAGTTTCCAGATTCAAATCCAGCTTTTCACTGCTTTTCAGTTTTACTCTTCCTAATTTTCACTTTGGACCTTTAGTCTCTAGGTCTCAAAATCAAAGCATCAGCATCCTAATTTCATAAAGACAGACTGAAATTCACCAACTTGTCACTTGCTAGGCAGCATAAACCAAGAAAACACTAAAAGGAAAGAAAATTCAGCCTTTGCATAGGCTACAGATGACAGCATCGCAGACTAAATGCAAGTTAAATTACATACACAAACCAATGTAAGTCAAACAGACTATAGAAAAGCCTCCTCTAGGAACAGAAATCACCTTTGAATACTCAGTTCTAGAGGTCAGAGAGTAAATGTGATGGGTAGGACTCGGACAGTAAAAGTAGGGTCTTATGTAGGGTCTATGCAAAGGTGTTCTCACCAGTGTGAACCCTTGTTTATTTAGTGCATAGTCTCCTGCAATGCTCTTTTATTAAAAATTTCTTTTAAAACAAACAAAAACTATGGTCCAGAGATACAGGGATTCAAGGACTACTAAGTCTACTGAAGGTGAATAAAAATATGCCTAAAACCAACAGTCTTAACTCTACTGTTCTAGTTCATGTATTTCTGAATAAATACAAAGAATATCCCATATACTTTTTAGTAGAGATCTACTATACTTTTAGTATAGAGATCCTTCTAATATTGCACTGTGAGAAGAAATTAATGGTAGATATGAATAAATTTATTTTTAAAAAGATTATTGCTTATTATAGAGGTGAGTGCACCTTCCACACTGAGCATCTAGCATTTGTAGCTGCAGATGTATAATACATCTCAAATCCAAATCTTCACTCATGGCCATTCTAACGCTACTGCATTCACAATAGAGGCCAGTAGCACAGAGAACTGGAAAGATTTCCTACTGGAGCATCCTCATGCTTTACAAAGCATCTTGTAGAGAGTTTAGCTACAGGAATAATTCTCCACATTTGTCTGTTTAGTGGCATTTTAGAAGAGCTGGAAGTGTAGCCAGGTTTCTGTGTTTACGGTGGGAAGGTCCTGGGAAGGTCTATGAACATGGGTATTGCAAAACTGTGTGCAAACCTTAAATAAGGTGATAAAACGGAACAGTGTCACCTTGCACATGTCATCTCAGCCAAACGTAAACATGGCACTTCACCACCAATACACTGTGCTGTTTAGTGGAGGAGGGTTCTGGGGGTGGGGACACTGGTTACATTGGCAAGACTGCAAGAAAGATACAGCTGGGAATACTGGAATTGTTTCAGAAAAGTATCTTGTAACTTTTTCAAGCTTAAGGATAAGAATCTCAAACCTTTCCAACTATGGGTAGCTCCACAGATCCCCAGGTATCTGCTCCCCAGTGAAATAATCCTGACAGAAAGTCAGCCGTAATGACTCCTGCAACTTGAATGAGGAGAGAGACAGTTAGATACACACAAGCGTTTTTACTGATGTATTCACATTTTATACTTCTTTTACAAGTTTACTTGTTTATCTACCTCCAACTTGGATATGTACAACCACATCAGCTCTACCCAATCTGAATAAGGACAGGCAAGTAGGAAAAGGAGCTTAACAAGACACCATTTGGAGAATTACAATCTTCATTAAATCTATAGCAAGATTTTGCGTTTAACCCATCTTCCACAGAAGAGCCTGACAAATCTTTACAATTGCTGGTATGGAAAATACTAGAACTGAAGCATTTAAATCTGCCTACTCTCTTCTTCGCAATAACCCCATGCAGTGCTACAGGCTTGGGGATGAGTGACTGGAGCTGCCAGGCAGAAAAGGACCTGGGGGTGCTGGTGGACAGCAGGATGACCATGAGCCAGCAATGTGCCCTTGCAGCTAGGTCGAGAGAGGTTCTCCTTCCCTTCTACTCTGCCCTGCTGAGACTGCATCTGGAATATTGTGTTCAGTTCTGGGCCCCTCAGCTCAAGGAGGACAGGGAATTGCTTGACAGAGTCCAGCGCAGAGCCACAAAGATGATGGAGGGAGTGGAGCATCTCCCTTATGAGGAGCAGCTGAGGGAGCTGGGTCTCTTTAGCTTGGAGCAGAGGAGACTGAGGGGTGACTTCATTCATGTTTATAAATTTGTAAAGGGCGAGCGTCAGGAGGAAGGAGCCAGGCTCTGCTCTGTGATGTCCAATGACAGGACAAGGGGCAATGGGTGCAAGCTGGAACATAGGAGGTTCAATCTGAACATGAGGAAAAACGTTGTTACTGTAAGGGTGACAGAGCACTGGACCAGGCTGCCCATAGAGGTTGTGGAGTCTCCTTCTCTGCAGACATTCAAAACCCACCTGGACGCGTTCCTCTGCAACCTGGTCTGGTGATCCTGCTCTGGCAGGGGGGTTGGACTGGATGAGCTTTCAAAGTCTCTTCCAACTCCTAAGATTCTGTGATCTGTGATCAGCAGTGTTTAAGAGATTCCTTGGCTATGAAACATCTGTTAAAGCCATCCCAACACTATCCGCAGGTCTTTCCTCTTCTCCCTTGGTCCCTTATGTCTGTAACAAGAAGCACTGAAGCCCAATGACTACAGATAAGCACTAACTAAGAAGCCAGTCCCGGGCACAGCAATACTATGTACAAAATAAGACTGGAACACCAAACAACTTCAAGACTGTGGCATCTGCAAAGCAAGGCCCCAGAAATAACGTTAACGATTCTCTGTGAGGGACATTACACACTCGCAATATTTGCATGCTAAATTAGATACACCATTAAATGGAGGTTGTTGCAACAAGTGTAAAGATTTTTCCAGCTGCCAACCACAGAAACTTTAAAGCTGTGGTCAAGCAATGATTTTCAATTCTTTCACATAAAGTCCTATTTCTGTCTTCATGTCCTGGATAATCTATCTATTCAAGTCTCTGGCTAATCCTGACACTTAAAAATAAGGACAAAAACCCCAAAGATTATGTGTTCAAAACATACATTTTGGTGGCTCAGTTAGCAATTTCTTACTCTCATTTGGTGCTCAGAGCACAAGGCACAGTAACTTACTACTGGCACGTCTGCCATCCTCAGAGAAGCCTGTGAGTCCCCATAAACCACAGGAGTAGTCACAGGGCCAGGGCAGAGTGGCTGAACACAGTTCTTTGATTTTTTCCTACCGATATTTACAAAAATCGTGTTGTTTACAAAATTTCCCCACTGTAACATAGTCTTTGCACCAGAAACAGCCGGGAGTTGCAAAACCAGAGGTGATGCAGGAAATTTATTTTTGCTCTGCCTGCCTCACCAACTCTTCTGAAGACACCTGTGAAGCCAGGAGGATTTCTGACTTTCTCTCTGCTAGCCAGTATCTGTTTCTCTATGAGTCTGAAGACTTTCTCCAGGCACAGCTTCCAAGTCTTGAGGCTTTCTGTGATGGGCAGGTACCCTTCTGCCTGTAAGGTGTTAGGCAAGACAATTCCAACTCATTTATGAGCCAACCCAAAAGTTAAAATTGTGAGTATACTCACTCCTCTTGCTTTGACTCCAAGGCACTTTAGCACTCCTCCCTCTCTCACAGAAACTTAAAAAGTAACCTGAGATATGCCAGGAAATACAAGAAAACAATGAACGTGCATTTTTCTCCATAAATCACTCAACTTTTGTTTACCCTGGTTGTGATCTGGACTTTGCCTGATTTTCCTATCTAATCAGGACGCTTAGGTCAGCTGCACTGAGAGTCCAGTTTAATGAAGTTCTTGTAACATTAGCAGGATTGCTAAAAAGCAGGCAATTTTTAGGATGTGAAAGAGGACAAAGCTGTTCTGCTATCGATCAAGTGCTCTTCACCTTCAGGGCATGGCAGTAACCCACAGCGCATGCAGCACAGCCTTACTTGAGATATACCCCTCCTCACCATTACCTTTTGCTTAGCTGAGCCCTCACTTCTGCAGTCTTTCCCCTCACCTTTCACTTTCAAAAAGGAGGAACAAATAAAATCAGGATTAGTGTGGCACCTACTACCCCAAAAGGCTTTCTTTCTGTATTACAA